GAGAAGTCTATTAACCTCTTCTGTGATACCTTCTAAGAGTTCTAAACTCTTCAAATCGTCATAAGGGGGATGAGAATATGTCTATTTTTTGTAGAGATCTTTTAATATTCAATATCATATATTTATGCAAAAATGTCCCATTACGTATGGCTCATGCCAAAGATGTTTTATCTTTAAAGCCTAGTAACTCTTCAGGTAGTGGTCGGGTTTACTCTATTTCACTTCCTAAACCTAGACAAAGGTCCTCTCTCATATCCTGCAAACAGGATCTAGCCGGACAGACGGTAGTGACATATACAGTGTTATTCTTACACCTTGAATTCTGTAGCATTATAGTTACAGGACCCAATTAAGATAGATATGTATGATAACATGCAGGCCCTGAAAGGGAGCTGGAGGGCAGTGTTGGAGACCAGAGATCCTGATTCCAAGCAGAGTTACCCTACTTAGGATAGTTCCTAGGTGTCGGATCATAGTACTCCTAACAGAAGCTACTAGAATGATAGTTATTTAAACTGAAGTTTCCGGAAGATGTCTATTCAACTCTATAAATCAGAGACCACCATTTGGAAGATGAAAGCACCTCCTCTAATGGTGAATATTTTACCATTAGAAGTACAGAAAGTGATATGAAAAGAATTCAGAGTCAAACAGAGTCTGTACTTGTTAAGAATAAAGACTATTACATATAGGAGTGGAAAAGGTACTTAGTTGAATAGTAGTTAGAAGTAGTCTGCAAACACTCAGATGCAGTATATAAATATCAAAGTGCCTCCTGAGCTTTACAGACCTCATCAAGTAATGGAGAAGAGATCTTAGTAATATAAAAATTGTTCTGCCAACAAATCTTTATTACACTATTCTCATTATCCTCTTAAGTGAGTTCTTAGTAGCTATAAATAAAAAGAACATTACTGAGTCTTTCTAGACAATCTCCGTCTAAACCAAAGATTCTAGTTCAAGTCATCTTAACACATACTAGAGTTAGCTTCCAGCTAACAAATATAGATATTAGTTATAAATAGATACAAAGCACAAGGTCACTATCTGTTGAAGAACTAATATCTGAAGAGTAGGATCATTACAATTAGGCTCTTTTAACTATCTCTTTACCTTTTGTATGATATTTACATAATATGATCTGCTTCAGAGAACTTCTATTTTCTCTGTAACTTGTAAGGCAATTTTCTAATTTCCTTTTAAATTGATATAAAAACTTCATAATTTTTAATTATTTAGCTAATGAAGTTTTTCCTCGTAGAATTATGGACAATATTGTTTCTGTAGTAAGTAGATATTTTTCAAAAGATTCAGCAAAGCTTCTGACAGGTGATGGTTTACTTCTGCAAGACTTTTAGACCTAGGTGGGTTACATTTCTCACTTTTGGTATTGCTCGACTAGCCATGACCTGCCCATTGTGAATATACTGGAACATGCCGACCAGGTCGCCTTCTCAAACGTCAGAAAGTCACGAGCAAAATGGGAGGTTTCAATTATTTTTATACTATTAGTGAAAATTTATCCAAAAATTTAATTATCTCACAAGTATTATACCCCCGGCATCTTATTGCCGTCCGCACCACCCTTCCGATTCGCCCACTACCAACCACCCCATAGTCAAAACCATAACGCAAATTTATACCATACTGCACCCCAACCACAACCACTTGCACGATTAATCAACTTTCCAAGGGCATTTATCCCGACAGCACCCATATTAGCAACAGGATGCAGTACTGCACGAGTGCTCGTCTCTGGCAATCAGTTATCCGGAATTTGCGTGGGCGCTCAGAGAGGCACTAATTTTCTTTTTCTTTTTTGGCAATGTCCAGCTATTTTTGCCAATCCCTGTTTCCGGGTAATTATTGCCCGGGACAAGTATTCGCACCGCACTGTGCAAGTATTGTACTGTACAAGTACAGTACGGTACGTACCATGCTGGCATAGGTAAACAGCACGAACACGGCGATCAAGACTTGTTACGGGAAGTTATTTGTGCAGCACCCCGGCCGTCGCCCGTGCCGGATTCGGGTCGAATTTTCGGGTGCCCTCGTCGGATACTTGTAGTTGTGCACGGTACAGTAGTCTACAGTACAGTACCGGCATTAGAGGCTGGGGCGGGGTGCAGATATGTGTATGCCACCGCTCATAAGTATTGGACCAGTACTCGAATACAGCCGCACCCCGCTATTCCATGCGATCAGAATCCGTAGAATCTGTCCGGTGCAGTGGGGTGATCTGAGACAACAGGTCAGGTTTTGGTGTAAAAGAAATTTAGAACTCGCAGAGATTCACATGGGGCACCGGATTATTGAGATCCGGGGGGGGGTGTGGCCGTAGAGCATAAGTGCACAAGCGGGCGCCAGCCCCGTTATCCGGAATCGTCTGTTCGGAAGGCGCCGTTGGGGATTATTTGGTGGAGGGGTGGAAGAGGAAGGGCAAATTTATGAAAGAGCAAAAAGTGAATACGAATGTGCACTGTATGTGGACAGAAGTGAAGCAGCTAAATATAGGTATCGAGCGCGGTAAACCGGCACTCAGCATCGCTTTCCCTTTGGTTCCTTTCGTTCCGCCCAGTCGTACCAGCGCAATAAAAAAGTTACACACCGAGCGAATTCCCAACCTGTTGTCGCTGCGCTCCTTGCGGGTGGAGTGGACGATTGGTCGTTGCGATAAGTGGTATTATTCGGACTCGATAGCTGAGGTGTGGAAGATGTGTGCATTGTAGTTCAGCTGCGTACCGGTACGATACCACATCGAGTATGGATACCGGCTTCCCTCTTGGCATGGGATAACTTAATCTCCGAGGTGGCTTGGGCATGCAGCACGCTTGGCGGTGCAGATGGTAGTCGGAATTGAAGGTGGGGTGAAACGAGTGATTAGTTGTGGAGGGGATGGTGACGTACTGTACTTGTACATTACAGCACCATACGGTAATATTATGATGTGGTCTAATGTATGGAGTTGAAGCACAGTATCGTCCTCCATCCCCGGATCCCCAGACAAATCACACCTGAGAGGGCCCTCCTGATATCGTGGTATGGGGTCAAGGGTCGGAAGCGTTCCATCCCACCTCGGTATTCGCGAGTTGTTAACCTGTCGGACCAGACCCATCTTGGGTTGATCTGATAGAGATACTCAAGAGGTTTGCGGTAGTTTACGCTACCGTTGGGCTGTTGTGCTGAGTGGGCAGCAGCACAGCCCACCGCAGCTTTCTGCTTTCTTAAAGCTTCGATTCTAGAGTCCTCGTACTGTACTGTCCTCCCCCGGCTTCGGCTGCAAGTACCCATTTTCTTGTTTCTTAATAAAAATGCCAGTACACTCCCAATGCGGTTGGGGAGTCGCAATCATAGCACTATACTCGAGTACCCTAGGGTAATGTTGAAAGGGTTATCCGGGAGCGCAGGGATATTATATAACGTGATCAAGGAGTTGTTGCGGATAGAGATCGAGGGGGGGTCCGATCGCTGGATAGCACAGGGTACCGGTACCAACTTTCAATCTGGATCTGACATCGCGTGAGTAGGCAGGGGTTTATTTACATGCAGGTATGGAGGGTGGGATGAACCGCAGAGGCGTTTGGCGAGCTCATTCTCCTCTCTCTGGGATGATTCCCGGTTTTGCTGTGCTGTACCGTTACTCTGAAATTACCTGCCTTGTGCGGTATCTGCGGTTCGAGACATCGTATAATATATGCTAATTCTTCTTGCATTACTAGATACTTTCACCCATTCGTGACTGAGCATGCTCAGGTTAACAGACCTCTCTAATCTCCGTCAATTCCCAGCATCAGGCTACGAGAGGTTTAGTTTCACAGGTTAATGCAATGGCGAATACCAGTTGATGAAATCCAACACAGTCGGTATGCTCGACCTGCCTTAATTATTTCTCATGTGAGGAAAATAATTGATCCTTCATAACGGTTTCTGTTTCCGAACAAGGAGATTGGGGGATAACGAGAATCTATATCACACAATACCGGTACTCCGAGCGCGGGTACAAGTACACGAGCATGGAGGTGGAGGTCCTGGCAGGGCCGACAAGGGGGCTCTGGAGTCAAGGAAGGGTATTCAATAACCCTTCAAAAGTAAGAAAATGGGAAAAGAAAAGGAATTAATTTGGTATGATATCATAGGAGTGATGCTAGGGAGGGTTATGATGAGAAAAGGGGGCTTTGATACTGCGGTTTAGACCTCTCCCGTCCCTTCCGTCCCATCACTGACCCCCGTACTCGAAGCCCAGCGCTGGCGCACCAAGAACTCCAATCCGCCCCAAACGTTTCAGGGTGCCGGCAATTACTTCTTCCACCTCGCTTCGCCCCCACCCGCCCCCACCCGCCCCCACCGCTAAGATGCTCCGAATGACAGCGGGGCATGTCGGCTGTCCCTGCAGCATGGGCAAGGGCTCGATTTACTTCTCGCCGGTTGGGTTCCCAGGAATTGGATTGGTTCGATTACTGTTCCTGATCAAACCTTTGTTCCAATTTTACGGGAAGGGCTATGGGCGAGCGAGATGGTGCAACGTTTCCCTTGTATAATGGGCGACATCTCGCTGGTTTTGGTAGATGGGTAGGAAGGGTGTGCGGTGCAGTCCTGGCCCGGGCTGACTATCAAAACTAGATACTGCTCTACATATTTGTACTAGTACACAATACTGGCGCTATATATAATAATATTAGTGATATACAGACAGGGTACGTATTATGTATTATGTTAGAAGGCCTGGGCAAGAAATTCTCACCATCAACATGTATAAATCCTCCATCCCCACCCACCTCCAACACTGTCTTTTCCCTTCCGCCTCACCAGCACTCCTTCCCCCACTCCCTTCCATTCATCCATTCATTTTCACCACCAAGATCTTCTACAGATCCTTTCATTCTTTTCACAAGAGTCCAAACCCTCCATTTCCACTCTTTAAGTTTCCGGAAAGCTCCACTCATTCTTAATCTTCCATTTCACCGACCAAACAAACCAAAACCCAAATTCGTTAATTAGAAATGAAGTTCACCGCAACCCTCCTCCTCTCCCTCCTCCCCGCAGCGTTCGCGGCCCCTGCCATTACACTCCGGAAGCGTGCCTCACTCTCCGAAGCGGCGACAGTCGGCTACGCAACCCTCAATGGCGGCACTACCGGCGGCGCGGGCGGGTCCACGACCACCGTTTCCTCGCTCGCCGCGCTCAAGACCGCGGCGGCCAAGAGCGGGGCATTGAACATCGTCGTGCAGGGCACTATCACGGGGGACGACGTGGTGGACGTGGCGGCCGACAAGACTATCGTGGGCGCGGATGGCAAGGCCGTGCTTCAGGGTGTGGGACTCCTGATCAAGGACGTCAAGAACGTCATCATCCGCAACTTGGCGGTGAAGGAGGTGCTCGCGAGCACGGGGGATGCTATAGGGATTCAGAAGAGTAATAATGTTTGGATTGATCATGTCGACTTGAGCTCTAATCAGGATCATGACAAGGTCTATAAATTTCTCCCCTTAACCCTACTCTCGGTGTTGATGGGGAGGTGGCTTACGATATGTGTATGATAGGATTTCTACGACGGTCTCTTGGACGTCACGCACGCATGCGACTACATCACTCTTTCAAACAACTACCTTCACAATCACTGGAAGGCCTCGCTCGTCGGACACTCCGACACCAACGAGTCCGAGGACAAGGGCCACTTGACCGTCACCTACGTTGGCAACTACTTCCACAATCTCAACTCTCGTGGTCCCTCATTCCGCTTCGGCACGGGTCATATCTTCAACAACTATTACGAGAACGTCTCCGACGGCATCAACACTCGCCAGGGTGCCCAGCTACTCGTTGAGAACAATGTCTTCGTCGGCTCGAATAAACCCCTTTACTCCACCGATGCTGGCTACGCTGTTGCCAACGGGAATGACTTTGGTGGCGGGGAGAATGCTGCCTCTGCAGGTACGCTTAATAGCATGCCGTACAAGTATAGCCTGGTCGCTGCTGGCAGTGTTAAGAGTTCGGTCGTTGGGACTGCGGGTGCTACTTTGACCTTCTGAATTGACGGTGGTGGACTGGATGGATGCATTTTTGAGAAGATGGGAGGGAGTACTAGGGACCTTGCTCACTGGATGAGAGGAGTGTAATATATTGTGTATACTAATTACAGTTGCATTTAACAATAAGCGAGTGATTGACCGTGATGAACAGGGGGTTATAGTATAGTAGTTGCTTGTCTCGGGCAAAGATATGCCCTCCCCGCTTTCCGGGCACTTTTTGCCTGGGACGAGTAGAATTTGTAACCCCAGAAATGTCTGTTCCGACGGAATTTATCAATTTTCTATCGGACGAAAACCTTGTTATCATAACACCCATCACTCAAAGTTTTGGCTGAAAATTACCATGTATTAGCGCCTCTTTCCCCCTCTGTTCCGGAACGACCGTGAGCAGCTCCCCCTTAGTCAAGGCAGAGAAGACATTGTCAATGACCAAAACCTCCATTTTTTTCTACCCCCCCTCCTTGTCAGTTCCTGGCGTGTTTTAGAGAGTGAGAGGTGGCTTGCCTGCGTCTCGGCAGTAAAAGTCCCAATATGGGGGAAGAGCACCGCATCCTCCCTCCCAACGAGCCCTCCATGAATTTTCGGCTCCTCCTCGTAAACATCCAACCCCACACTCCACAGATGACCCGCCTCGAGCACCTCCACCAGCGCCGCTTCGTCGATAATTGCCCCACGCGCAGTATTAACCAGCACAGCCCCCTTCTTCAACCCCAACAGCTCTTTCTTCCCGAGATAATGCCTTGTCCTCTCCGTCAATGGTAGATGAATGCTCAAGACATCGCATCTGCTTAGGAACTGCGCAAGGTCCGCCACATACTCTGCACCGGCGGGGTTGTACGCCGCCTCCTTCCTGTTGTGGTATATCAACTTCATGCCGAAGGCTTTCGCGCGGGTGGACAGGGCCACGCCGATCCCGCCCAGGCCGAGGATGCCGAGGACTTTGCCGTCCGGGTCGTGGCCGAGGGGTAATTGACCACGCCAAGTGTCCTTACGGATCGAGGTCTCAGCGATGTAAGTCTTGCGTAGGGCTTGCAGGATAAGCATCATTGCGACGTTGGCTGTGGCATTATTGACGGCTCCCGGGGTATGGGCTACGAGGATGCCTGGAGCGGGGTTAGTACGGACGAGCAAATTAGGTGGGAGGGGGGGTGAAGGGAGATGGAGTGAAATACCGCGGGCAGTACAGGGCTCAATGTCAATCTGATCGTATCCGGCACCGTTATGGCAAATGAATTTCACGCTGGAGGGTAGTTGGGAGACAAGATCTTCATCGAAGCGGCCGGTGATCTGTCCCCATTAGCTTAAGTAGCAATATAGAGCTCATGGGGGTCTGACATTAGCAGAATCATGGGTTCTGTAAATCACTGCGACACCATCGTATTTCCCATTTTTAAAATCCTGGATCGTGGACTCCCTCGTGCCAGAAGCGATTTCCTAACCAAGAACTCAGTCAGAAACCTCCCCGGCAGGTAAGACATAAGTAGAGAAAGGGGAAGGAAAAAAAGGCAAACCTTGAGTTCCGCTACTTCGGCTAGAGATTCCCATTCCTTACGAGCATGATCGATCTTACCGAGGAGGAGAGCAATTGGAAGAGGCATTGTGTGATCTTGATAATGGTGGTGGTGGTGGAGGGTGGAGGGGGGGGGGTGGTTAAGTATTAAAGAGGGTAGCAAGCTCTGGAACGACCCCGCCTTGGCGGGGGGGAGCTTCTAAAAGTTGACTTAAAATTTTTTATCAAGGGTAAGATGCCCCCCACGTCATTAGCTCCTGGACTAAAGGGATCGGCAGGCCACCGCACAAAGAAAGAACGCGGGTACGGCATTCCAGCCTTCCCTTTAGAACCCCAGTTCGGCGGTGTCACTCCTTCAAACGAGTCTCGTACTATACCTCTTCCATCCGATGGCCCTCGGCGTGCATATGTGGGAGGAGGGTGATACACTCATGACCTCTTACTCATTTCAGAATTTCCCGCCGTCACATCGGTCGTTTTTTTTTTTCGCCTCAAACCCCACCGGTCTGGCGGTGCTACGATATGATACGTGGAATGGATGGAACTTGAAAAAGTTTGTTTATATTGAGAGTTTTTGGCACTGCCCTTAGAAAGGCAAGTACAGTACTGATTAATAACGAATACAGCAATAATTACCCCAAAAGACATGCACAACCTAACAGCCCAAGTTACCCTTCAAACGTCCTGCTTCCAATCTGGAAAGCCAAAGTTGACCGGCCATGGAGGCATCACAAATCTAATATTAAAGTTAGCTCGGCCACTCAATTGATTGAACAGGGTGGCCTCAAATACCTCTTTGTTCCTTTCTCCTTGTGGATATTGTTCAAAGCTTCCATATCCTCGTCGTCAAGCTTCAAGAGCACGTTGTTCTCCTCGATTCTGCTGGGAGTGACCGACTTCGCCAAAACTACATTCCCACGGTTGACTGCATTCACCAATCAGTAGGGCTCTAGCCAAGAAAATGAATGATTGGACTACTATGATAGTTCAATAGAACCGTGCTAACAGCAACATTGTGCTTCTCGGCAATCTTAATAATAGATTCCTCTTTGAGTAGAGGTCCACCTGCGGAGCCAAGAGGAGAGTATGCAGTAATGATAGTTCCATTTTCTTTGCAGAAGTCGACAACGTCGTGCTGTGGGAGGAATGGGTGGTTCTCGATCTGGTTAACTGCAGGGACAACAGTGTTTTGTAAGAGAAGACTTTTCAGGAACGGAACTGAGAAGTTTGAAACTCCAATTGCCTGCAAAAAACGTTAGCTCCCGTGGGGCGTGTAAAAAAAGGGGGGGCGGGGGATCAAACCTTGACTTTTCCGGTAGACAACAACTTTTCCATTTCCTTGTATGTCTTAATGTAGGTCCAATCAGTTTGTAGATCCCTTGATCCATCTGGCAGCTTCGGGAATTTGTCGTGATTTCCTGTATACCCCGCTTTGTTAGTCTCCTCAAAGGCTCCCAAAGGAATGGGTAGGTGCTTGCCATTAGGATTCAAGGGAACGGGCCAGTGCATGAGGAACAAGTCAACGTAGTCTAGACCGAGACTCTTCAAGCTCTTGTCAAGACCCAATTCCACCCGGGAGTGATAGGTCGACCATAGTTTTGTGGTGACAAAAATATCCTCCCTCTTTACGCCACCCCTGAAAGCTTCAGCAAGACCAGCTCCGACTTCATCCTCGTTTCCGTAACAGTATGCTGCATCAATGTGTTTGTAGCCACCCTTTAGAAGTGCGTGGGACACTGCTGCCTGAACTTCACCGGGAGCGGATTGCCAGGTTCCTAGCGGGATAACCACTCAGCTATTTGGACAAAAGGTCAAGGTGGTGGGAGATAGCTACCTAGCCCAATGGAAGGGATCTCAGCTCCCGTGTTCAGCTTGAAGGTAGCTGGAACGGACATTGTTGGATAAGCAAGATGATCAAGTACAATGGGGAACTAAAGGGGAGAGCGTGATGGGTGGTTTCTGGCAGCCTTTTATCGGGGAGGAAGCTAGGGTATGGAAGCCTATTTAAGTTCGGCGGATTCCCCCACTAGTACAGCCGCGCCCGCAAAGTCCCATGCCCTCCAAGAACGGTGGAGGAAGCCTCGAACCGGAGCACTCACGACATTCATTCATTTCGCTTAGTAATACAAGTTAACTAGCGTTCCAATTTCGGTTAACTACCAATTAATTTGGCTCTCTTTGACACACTTGACTGGCATCTCGGGAGTTAGAATAGCAAATAGCCGGGTATGATAGCTATAATTCTGTGAGAAACAGATGGTGATAAATGTTTACAATGCCTGTAGAGACATATCCCAAAACAGTCATTCGAAAAGCAGTTGCCCGTTGTTGACAGGTAAATTATTGTTCTTGGGGTATCATACTGTGCAAGGAAGGCTACGAGTACAGTACTTCGTGGGTGCGGCACTACCCGGCTGGCTTCTCCGCACTTCCATCATCCTGCATTAACTTACATGGCATGGCGAGAACCGTCAAGGCACCAGTACTCGAGTCTTGTTAGTCTACCAATCAAAAATAACTGGGCTGCTGCAGGCAGCAATGGGAGAAACTTCCACAGAATTCGCCGACCGACCAGGACTAGGTGGGAATCTTTGTCGTGAATAGTTGCTCATTGTGCCTCAACAAGAGCCTTTAGTCAATCCCCCATCACCACCCGTCCTACCTACGTCTTTGATGAAATAAGGGATTTCATGGAGCCACCGCTAGCCTGAATTAAGCCTCCTCTTCGCAAGTGCCGGGTAATCTTTCCCGTTGCTATTATATCTGCAGCGGCTCGGTCATTTTGATGGGCACTGTACTGTACAAGCAAGAAGTTGCTGAGGTGGAAATTGCGGTCGCGTCAAAATCGAGGCCCCGAAGAGTTTAGTCCTAGCTATACAGTCGAGGTATGACGTCCTACCGCGATCCCGAGGCAAAGCAATAAAATCTTATTTGAACGTTACCATGCTAGCATGGGACGGTTCTCGCCGGATAATAGTGATAAGTGGTGGGGCAATGGTTCGGTGTTGCGCGCCTGCCGCAATCATAACGTCTTGAATTGAGGGGTAAATTGTTGTTGGGCGGCCCTGGCTTTGTCGCCTAGGTATCGGATCAGAAGGTTTCCAGTGCCTCGCACGTTTCATCCCTGTTCAAGTTGAACTGTACTGTACAGTACTCGAATACCGCACTCTTGGGTGCCGTGACTGATAGGTAGCTGGAAACGAAGATCTTGATATTTGAGACCATTTCTCCTCCGTAGGAACCTCCTCCCATCGCCCCCGAACGCTTGGTTCTCCAACAATTCACAGGTAGGATGTCTCTTCAATAGCCCTTGTACCCACTCGCCTGGCTCGTCATATATGACCGGGCTGGACACTATACCTGCTCCCCCGGAGCTCACTTTAACTAATGCGTGCCCACCTTTCAATGTTGTAAAGAGGAGAATCACTAGCTTGAGACTTGACGCCATAGTCTGGAACAAGCACTTTGATTTCGGACCTCCTCCTTCAAACTCAGCGTCCGGTGAGATGGTTGGGCTCGGGGAGGGAAGGAAGGGGGAAAAAAAGAGTAAAGACTGTTTCGGGAGCCTATCACCTGACTGGGTAAGGTGATAGAGCAATGGTTCGGGGTATATTCTGGCGGGGGTCAATATGAAAGCGCCGCACGTAGGCATGATAACTAAGGAATCGAGTAGAGCACACACTGCCTGCTGAGTGCAAAAGTGGATCATGGGATTTTGCCCAATATTAATGATACCACAGTTATTTCAGCGTGGCACTACCACTGCACTTGGGGTTGGACTTTGTTCACAATATTCGAAGCGCAATAAATCTGGCTGGGTAACGCATCTCACGGAATATATCATACCGTCTTAGTGCAAGCACTGTAATGTAAAACTTCCGGTATCACTCCAAGGTAAGTTCTGCTCGACTTCTGTTCCAACAGAAAGAGCAATCACGATGATCATTCCTTTTCTTCCTACTGCCCCAGTTTCCACTTCGCCCTGCTTCTCACTGCTCCAAGGCGTGTACTGTACTGTACTGTACTCTGCTTTATAGGACACGCGTTCCCCAGGCACGAGGATTCCGGACTACGCAATCGGCTGACGTGTCGGCACATCATGTATGATATCTTGAAGCTCCTGTATCCAAGCATCTCTGACCGCAATGGCCCAGTTACAGTTACAGTGATTAGAAGACGAAGCAGACGTCTGCGATACTCCGGGGTCAGTATCATAGTGGATCTTGCGTGGATGTTCCCCGGTAGAATCCGTAGCGGGTGTTAAAAATCCCTTAACCGTGCTTCTTCCAGTCCATAAGTGCCGGTACAGTAGATTGCTTGTGCCCGGGACCAGCCATTAGAAAATACTGTACCCCCCCCCCCGTTTTCGGATACTTATGGCCGAGTGCTATGCCAGGAACGAGCCGAGAACTTCATTATCTCGGGCAGCGGTGGAGGGTATCATTGTCGGTATTCGTGCTGGGTAAATCCGTGCCCTCCAGGCAGTATGATAATATGGTAGGCTGCTACTTGAGTAACACCCCCCCCTAGCCACAAACTACCGGAAAGAAACAGAAATGATGAAACCATCATCACTACTACAAGTAATACCTGCTCCGGTACCCAAGTCCATGCCAAATATCATGCCGAGGGGAGGAAGCTGGGCGTTCCCCACCTCTCCTTTATAGGAGCAAACGATCGTACTGTACTACCCCACACGGCAATAGCAGCACCAAGCGATAGAGTTGTACAAGTACAACGTGCACAAACTGCTGTACCCAAACTCTTTCTATATACCTCCAAAACCCCCAAGGCCCCTCCGATACCCCTTCCCTTCCCTTCCCCTCCCCTCCTTACTGCACCCCATTTATCCCTTACTTGAGTATGATAGTCTGTCGTGTGCTGCCTTCAGGAGGTCTCAGTATAACGAGATCTGGAGGGGTCCAGTAAGTTACACTTCCTTAATTGGCAGCGGATTACTTGGAGTTTCAAACCCGAGACCTTGATTTGTTGATCTCTCCGGCCCAGTGACAAAGCACTGGTAGGGGACACCGTATCATATCATAACTAGACTACAATACCGGCTGTCACTCCCTCCCTACCCATTAGAAGCGCAACTCATTCCAACCTCTCGGATAAACCCTTTTCCGCACACAACAACAAGCCTTACGAGTATGATACCTTGGCAGGGGTCCCACCCTCTCTGCCCTCTGGCCAAAACACCATAACCGGCATCTTTTTTAAACCCCATGGAAGAAAAAACCCGACCGTACTCGGCTATGATACAGCACCGTACAAACCTCATCAACAACGATAAATACAACATCCGTGCACTACCGCACCGACTCCCCCCCCCCGTTCTCGGGGGAAAGGGGAAAGTGGAAAAGATACCGGTGGTACTGTGCGATACTCGTACTGACAGAGTGCCCGCCCAGCCGTTTGAACAACAAGCTTGAAACTCCAACCGGGATCATGTAACAGCCACCCCCGATCGGGGCGGGGCGAGCTCTAAACAGTCCTTGGTTCAAAACATCTCTGTGACGAAAGCCTTCCTCAGCGACGTTTCATTCATGGACGGGCGTGCATATGTAATGTGTATGTGCTCGAGTACTGGGGCTATGAGCGTATATATATCAGTTGGGTCTCGCACTGAGCAGCACAGTACGGTACTTTATACTTTAGGTGCAGGTTTTTGGGGCTCATTTTTAATTATTCACTAACGCACGAACGAGCGACTTCTTTCTCCTTCTCCCGACAGCGGGTTTGACCTTTTTCCCCTTTATATATACATATATATATATATTGGTTTGTTAGATTCGGTGTACCGGTAGTAGGATAGTCCGACGAAATGATTCTTTCGGCAGTCTTCTCAACCATCTTACTTACGTCGGTGGCATGGGCACAAATTCCTGAGCAATTCACCACCGGTTTCGACAACGACACAATCTCGCTAGTAGTAACATATGGTGCGAACGAAGTCACGGACGGTGAAAAACTTGGCCTGAATGGTATCATACCTCCTCCCCTCCCCTCCCCTCCCCTCCCCTCCCCATTAACCCTCTCACAGATGTACAATCCGCCCCAACCCTCGCCCTCGGCGACTCTAGCAGCCTAAACGCCAACAGCCGGTACATAGTAATAATGATAGACCCGGACGCGCCCTCCCGCGCCAATCCCACATCCGCGAATGTACTGCACTGGGTAAAGACGGACTTGCGTATCCGAGCCTCCACCGCGACAAATATCACAGCCGATAACGCCACTGCCACGTTCTCGTATGCGCCGCCGTCGCCACCACAGGGTAGCGGTGAGCACCGGTATGTCTTCCTGCTGTATGACCAGCCACGTAGGGCTGGTTTTGCGTTGCAGGGGTTGCCAGAGAGGAGGACCGGGTTTAATGTATCCGCATGGAGGGAGGAGAACGGTTTGGCACCGGCGAAGGCGGGAACGTATTTTTTGGCGGAATTTGGGGGTTCGTATTTCATCCCCCCCCCCTCTTTCGCCCGCGGATGGAGGCTAATTTTTTGGATAGGGAATTCGACTTCGGCCACGACGACGACGAGCGGGCGCCCGAGTGCTACTGGGGGTTCCGGGAGTGGTGGGAATGGAGCCTCGGAGACAGGCACAAGTGGGGGTGGGACCGGGTCTGATGCTCCGAATGCTGCCGGGAGGGTCGCAGCGAGTGGGCATGGGATTGTCATGACTTGCTGGGTTTCTGCGGCAGTGTTGGGCGGTTTCTTCATGGGGATGTAAAATATCATTTTGTTAGGCGTTATGATACCTCTTTTCTTTTGTAAAATTTTGTCTCCCACCATGGCTTATCTGTTCGCTTTCATGAACCAGCCAGCCAATCAACCAACTCTATTGCAACTGCCTACCGTAGGCCACCCATTAAAAAGCTTGGATGTCAAACAAAAAAGGGAACACTTATCATAACGAAATCACCCTCCATAACATGGATTATCTCTTTCCTCAAGTGCCAAATAACGATCTAGCCAATCTCGCTAGCACACCAGTTTGTGCTCGAGCATGAGCCTCCACACTATCTCACCCAATAAGCAACAGGTAATCCTTCGGATTCTCGATAATCCATCCGGCCGGGTGCCGCCAATTCCCCCCTCCCTTTAACCACTTCCCAACCTCCTTCAGGAATTAACCCCTCGTCGCGCCCTCCGCGAGCGTGATCGTGCACCGTTCACTAACGAGCGCTTCGTCGATTTGAAGGGTTATCGGGGGCTGGGGTTCGGTGTGCATGATTTGTGAGCCCGATGGCCCACTTGATCTTTTTTGGCAAGGGGATTGCAGGGTGGCTACCCGACTGGACGAAGGCGGTGCGATCCGGGAGCTTATTCCAGACAGTGTGCTGGGATTGCTAGCCCTGTGCGGTTAGGTGTTGGAAGAAGGGAAGGGTAAAAGTGATAGGTTCGGTGACCAGGCCGGTAGAGGTGCTCGCAGCCATATCTGCTTATTTATCCGCAATTTTTCCCTCCAGACCGATTGATTGTTTTGTTTTTAGCACCGGTGTGTTCGTGATGGAGATGGAGGTGAGGATGGGATGAGCATCGTTTTTTTGGGGGGGAGGCACGATGCCTTGATATTAAATTTTGCCCGATGGCTTCACGGTCCACGCCAAGACGGACTGACCCGGGAACAAGTGCCTCGTCCACATGCCACATCGACGGAACCCTTGCTGGGACGGCCTTCTATCATACTTAAAAGGGTATCATATCGTACGGTACTTGTGCGAGTACGGAACTCGAGTACATGTGGTATACATGTGGTATGATACGAGAGCTTTGCCGACGCAAGTGTACCCGTAAGAACCGTCAAAAACCAACTATCAGCTTACCAGCGGAAATCAGCCCGCGATAGGCTGACTTGATGAATTAAGGGAATTGCGAACACCGGTGGTGGATTACCGGTATACCCACTCGTCTTTGCCAAGAATACCTCCGCCAGCCGACAACTTGCTGGAGTCCTCACCAATATATTCCGCTCATGAAGGTATCATTGGCGGAGACGAGTGAGCAGACTACCTGTACTCGAGTAAGAGTTTCTGCGGTATTCTCTCCTCGAGCCGGGATTCCGGGGAATTCGGCATGCGAATGAAGGGATTGATGGAACCGCCAACTGCCGAGGAAATGGAAGGTTCCTCCACACCCCTTTCTAACTTGCAGCTTGAAAACCTGTACGAGTACTCGAGTGTACTCATACATTGTCGTATAACCCCTCATGCAATTGATCTTTTAATTAATTAATATCCTAGTCCACAAGAAAGGGGAGGAAGAGAGGAAGGAAATGAATTTTTGTTCTCTTTTTCAACTTCCGCAGACCTAACCTGTCTGATGGGCCCGTGATCGGACCAATGTTATGATGTAACTCCTGTAAGCCATGTTGAACTGATCGTCTACCGGCATCATACCTCCGTGATATTTGGTAGGATCTAGGGTGCTATTTAAGGGATAGTTCGAGGCCTGGTTATTGGATACCGGTACCGGTATTGCAATATCAACCTAGGTGATGCGCGGAATGCACAATTGATTAGTACCGGGATACCCCAAGGAGGTCCAATTTGGGTCGGACCAGGGGTTCATGTTCCTCATGGCCGGTGCTTAAGGCCTCCCCTCTCGAAATGGCTTTTTTCCCCTTTCCATTCCCCTTCCCTCCTCCCCATGTATACCGTGACATACCGGTAGCATTATGAACAAACCTCACTTTGTTAAAAACACCAAACTTCCCTTAGCTCTATCTCGCCAGCGATTGGCCTCTCCTTCTCCCGAAGGCCCCCCTTGCATACTCGAGTACCTGTACAGTACAGTCCTGACCCGACGACATGATATAATAAAGTCGTTGTCACCGCCTCCGGAACGTCCGGAGGTGTACAAGTATGATACTACCGGGCATTAAGCCAAGCGGTGAGTGGGAGTCCTCCTGGGTACAGTACAGTACGGTAGTGCAGTACAGCAGTGGACCGGTAATTCTGTCTTCCCGTTGAGCTCGCATTTGTTGTGACCCCCGAGGTTGCTGTACTCGTACTTGTATGTCTCGCGTAGGACGGAACGAGCATTGCGTATGGTGGTGCGGGAATGTGTATTTTGCTACTGCTACTGCACTGCAGCACCCTTGGTTAGCCATTTTGGGGTAACGCTGATTGAGTAAAAAAATGTCTTTGGTAACGGGCACTAGTACCGGTAGGTATCTTGTGGACGGTAGAAGGGTTATCTATCATCTATATCATACGTTTTGTGGAGTTGGCTGCTAGTTGACGCGGTAATATTTTCTCATAAATGCTGTCTATGGTACAATAATTTATCACCTTCCATCAGCACTGTGAAAAGCTTGCAAACTATGATTTGGGCGGGGGAAATTGAATCAAATTGGTGATGCTAAGAACCTTAAGGAAAGTGACAATATCGGAGCCCATGCTGGAGACCAAAAATAGAGAAATAATAATTAAGGGTAAAATAAGGGAAAATAGCCAGAAGTGTAAAGCATGCTAAGGAAATAGCTATATTAAATACGAATTATATCCCTCTCTAGAACCTAAGCTTGGCAAAACGCTTCCTGAGGGGGGTGCGCCGTCCCGGGTCCTCATGTATGCTGTTGTTGCTGATGACTGATGGTGCTTGCTCACTCTTGACGAGGTGGGTCTCGTTGTACTGAACGCCACCGTCTCGTTGATAGGTAATGTCGTAGTGAGTTTCTTCTTTCCTCCACTTGGGTAGTTCGCGGTAGTCATTCGGGTATTCGACGATCGAGCTGGAGACACCGACTTTGAGGCTCTTGAGGGTATTGATGGGTATGGAGCCGTCACCCTATTTCATATTAGTTATTATATAGTCCACCGGAAGGGAGTGTAGGAACAAACCTTTTGAACAACCCATTTAAGATTCTTGCGCAAGTAGGGCACACACGCGGCCGGGTCAAGGTCGACATTGCTCGCGACGAGGGCCTCGGTCAGAGGTACAGTGCCTCGGATAACGTGTTTCATTCGCGATCTCTCGTCGCCGAATGTTGAGCAGTCGCCAACGTGATTTGGTGCAGTTTGCCATTCTTGGACGGATGATGGGACGTCTCCAAGGAAGATCAAGACAGAGTATCTATCATCGACCTCGCCTGTGTCCATTTTGATGTAGGCGATCCATTCGCGACGGTATCTGTAGGGACTGCCAGTTCCTGAGCCAGAGCCGGAGCCAGAACCAGAGCCCGAACCAGAGCCAGAACCAGAGCCCGAACCAGAGCCAGAACCAGAGCCAGAACCAGAGCCCGAACCAGAACCGGAGCCAGAACCGGAGCCGGAGCCAGTGCCCGAACCAGTTCCAGTGCCAGTGCCCGAACCAGTACCTGTGCCGGTGCCATTGCCAGTACCCGTGCCGGTGCCGGGGCCTGGATTATTGCCACCACCGCCACCCAAAGCAGGCCTATAAAGTTCGTTGACCCTACCTGTGACAAAAGTTGACAAATCTTCAGCGGGTCTAGTCCTGTATTCAGCGGGGATCTCGGGGTAGGTATAGCCATAAGCCATGATGCTGGTAGCATTGGGCGTATCTGCAGAAGTCCAGTCACGGCCATCAGAACGGCGGAACGGCCGCAACGGGGTATTGACATCGTCGCGGTCTCCTGGCTGGACAACTCTTCCGAAGGTTTGTACAGCCGGGCCGGGTTGAACATATTCGTTTGGCCGGACGGCTTGGTACATTGCGATAAGACGGTCGACGTTGCAGTGACTATTTATGTATGTTAATATCTGCTAGAAGTGAGGGCACTGGGAACTCACTGTAGCCAGAAGATTGGGTCGAATGCGGCATAGTCGACATAGGACATATGGCCGTTCAAACCACCAATGTGCGCTAAGTAAATTATTAGAATCCATCTTTGGGCAAGTGAGGAACCCATGCAAGGGAATTACCGTGGATATTGTTGTGGATCGATTCAACGCTGACCCAATTACTTGGTGACACATCACCGCCAGGACCACCCGAGGCAGCAAACTCTCCAAAGGTGGGAATGGAGAACAAATTGTAGGTATTGGCACGGCGACTATTATTGTTATTTTTAGCAAAGGTCGGGAAAGAGGGGTTACCGATAGACTCACGGCTCGTAAGTGTTCACCATCTCGCTCTCTGCAAGGTCGTTGCGCGAATTGAAAGCACCATCCGGTTGGCGGCAGGTTTGCGGTATATTCTGGAAAACACCATCAAAGTATCTCTGTCTATTCTGATCGCTGGTGAACCTGTAAGAGAACAGAGGGTTCGGAATGACGGTAGTCTGTGGGGCACCACCAGCGTCCGGTTGAACGACTGTGACATCCGTCGCAGTTACGGCACTCGGGAGACGTGATCTGGTTGTCTGAGAAGACCAATCCCAATACCTATGGTGGCGATTAGCTTAATCCCGGGCTTACGGTAAAGGAGGTGGGATGGCTCACGGCATGCGCACTCTATCAGCAGCATCACGATATCTCTGCGCATCCGCACCAGTGAATCGTGCTGCAATTGTTCTTGCGTGTTCGCAAAGGATTTGCTAAATCAATAGGTCAGCATATTTATTGAAACGCAAGAGTGCTTGTAATAACTCATACCTCGATCAGGATGAGGTAGGGCCGATGCCATGTAGCGAACAAAGCATTTCCATGTGTACAATAACCGCGGCCGGGATCGTTGCTAGCAGGATCAAATTCGTGTTGCCATGGAAGATATGGGCGACCATGAATACCGCTGACTTGGTAATAACTTACGTCGCGATTCTCATCTTCTGCCTGCATGGCCACCAAAGCCAGGATGAACATGTTGTAGACATCAGAGGAATTTGACTGCATCTCCTCAATAGGCATACGCGTCTGCAGGCCAGGTGCACCAGTAACGGGAGTAAAGCCACCGGGTGCGCCAGACTGTCTGGGGACGACAGCCCTGGGTTGCGGCTTGTATTCATCGTCGGGGCATGGCTTGTAAGGATCGTTCTTGCAGTGCTTGTATGGTGGATCCGAGTTGTATGGCTTATAAGGTTCCGTGGTGTATGGCTTGTACGGATTGTAGGGATCGGGTGACTTATAATCCGGCTTATAGTCGGTCGGGTACGGCTTGTAGTCGGATGGTTTATAATCCGGTCTATAGGTCGGGTACGGCTTGTAGTCAGATGGTTTATAATCCGGCCTATAGGTCGGGTATGGCTTGTAGTCGGTCGGCTTATAATCCGGGTACGGCTTGTAGTCGGATGGCTTATAATCAGGGTACGGTTTGTACTCGGATGGCTTATAATCTGGCTTGTAGTCGGTCGGCTTATAATCCGGGTACGGCTTGTAGTCGGATGGCTTATAATCTGGCTTGTGGTACGGATACGACTGACAGTCATCCGGTTTGTAGTCCGATGGGTAGGGCTTATAGTCAGTCGGATATGGCTTGTAGTCGGTCTTGTGCTTGGGATCCGACGACTTGTATGTGTTGGTTGGGCGCGGGGTGTAGTATGTATTAGTAGTGTATTTTGGGGGAGTTGACGTATAATGTTTGTATGGGTTGTAGGTATAACCCGAGGGATGATAGTTGGAGTCAGTGTATTGACTAGCGGTGGGATTATAAACCGAGGGGTAATATTCGGTCTCCACACAAGTGGAATAGTCTATGACGGAATCAGTATGAACCTTAGACTCTTGGGAGTTCCATCAAACATACAAGAGTTTACCCGGACACAAGTAAATTTAGGGGGGCAACTGGTTTCGCCGCCATACCCAGTTCCTCCGCATTGTCCATAGGGTTCGACAGCGGCGGTCGCACTCCCAATGAAGGCGAGTGCGAGCGCACCGAACGAGTGTGATCTCATGATGGTGAGATGTGCCTTGTAAAACGAAAGTTGTCCGACCAGAAACAGAGCGAATGCTGTTGTGGGGAAGGAGGGGTGAGGAGGGTGAGGAGGGAATTTGAGGTGGGAATGCTCAATGCTAAATACTTTCTGGACCACATGTCCGTGGAGTAATTGCAACCTGTAGGGACCGAAATGGAAGAAACTCTCTGTGGAACGGCATCTGTGAAGAGGCTATGCTAGCACTAGAGCACTTCTCCCCTTCTGTAAGACAACCGGTATTACTAAAATTTAAGTGACGATGTGTGTTGTCAGTTGTGTTCACTCTTCAGCCCCCCTTTCCCAGTCAATTTGCACGCGACCAGGGATCCCGTACCTCCGGGATGGTTCATGATATCGATAGGGCGGAGGAGGAGGAGGATCTGAATCATCATTGCCAGCCCAACGGGATGTCTCACCTTCCCTCCTCAAGCGTAATTAACTAAAGTGCAAGGCAAGGCAAATTACCATGAGAGCTCAAAAGAAAAACCGACCTTATGCTGGGAAGTCGGAGTTGCCTCTCCTAGAAAGGCATGGCGCTCTTCCTTCCTTGTTTGTCTTGGAAGGCATGATTTTGGCGCGCTTCTTTGCCCCTTTTCCGGAGGAGGAAATTTCGAACTACCTCGTACTATGGTCCGCTTGTGCCGATGAGCTTTTTTATCCCCGCTTTTGTCCCCGCTTCTGTCCTCGCCAAAAGAAGAAAGGGGAGGGGGGGAAAAGTACCGGTAGTATTAATGGACATGTGCCTAACTTTTGTGGCCTGGGTACTTGTATTGAACCACAATAAGGGGCCCAGTTCAGAAGTGAGCGGTGATAAAAGTCAACAAACCTATTAGTTAGTGGAGGGGGGGGTAGAAACAAAGGATCGTTGGGGTTGGCTTTTTGTGCACGGGTTGGCTCATGCCGGGTACGGATGTCAGTTCATCCTTTACAGCACCCCCTAGGTATCACACATACTGTACCGTACTTGCATCTACCAGTACCACAAGAGCTCTGCCCTACGTATACGTCAGAATTAGCCTGCCCCCTCCAATTTATCTCAACACCAATAACCATCTATAGTACGAGCAGAGTACCGACAGCACTCGAGCGCACTGAAATTCTGGATGGTATGAGAACTCGAGTATCTCATACATTACTCAAGTGCCAGTACAGGCAATGATGCCGGTAGTCTACATCTCAGTCGAAGGGGCAATCCCCCCCCACGCGGCCAAACTACGGAGCACACTTGGGACGTGATCGCTGGCCGATCAGGAATACTTCGCCTTTACTGGACCTTTGTTTGAAAGACCTGATGCCATCGATCTTTTCCAATTCCCGTGACACGTATCTAGGCTTCAAAGGTCACATTCTTTCAAGTTTCTAATCTTAGTTCCCGCGATGATGCTGTGGCCAGAAATAGGATGTAAAATGTTCAAGATACAATCTGTACAACACAAGCTAGTTGCACAAAAGTCAATCCGCTATCCCTCTCTCCTACCGGTAGTCAGCCTAAGGTTGAAATAAGCATATTCGGGACTGAGGCGGTGTCCTATGGCGGGATTGTAAATATTTCCCCGGTTCGGGATACCGGTACTTGTACGAGTACTTGCGCAGCGCAACGATAACGGACTCTAGAATACGGCCTGGTGCGGGTTGTCCATCCCGCTCGCCGCCGATCTTTCCTACGCTCCATTGGCACCGTCCTGGCGAAGTGCGAAAGTCCCCCCCCCATGGATCTGTGAATTTCTAGGAGGAGGGTTATTTTTGGAACGCGTTGCTAAAATAAAAAAAGTGCAAATCCGGGGACCACTTGCTTAGTTCAGCCGCAACCTACGGTAACCCGTCAACTTTTCAAGTCAGCGATGTTGCTGGTTGATTGGTTTCAGCGGTGAAAAAGAAGCTTTTGCGGAGGCACAGCCTTCTATCGATAACGGAAAAATCCTGCCACAAACGCAGCGGGGCCAGCCGAAGGCATGGTTGGTATCATACACGGTCGGGTACAATTAACGGTGCTGGGCCATACAGAAGTCGATATGGAGAAATGCGGTACTTTGTTCCAGTGCCGCACAATGCTGGGTGATCACGCTGATAGGGCTTAGATCCTGACCAAAGAAATTTGCTCAGCTGGCCAACCGAGACTTTTGTTCCCCGGATGGAACAACCTTATTGGCCCGGCCCATTCATCGAAAGCTTCGAAAATAGCTATTTCCAGTTTACAAAACCGCAAACCCCTCACTTATTGTAGAGGCGACTGTGCCCATAGCCTCTTATGGGCTAGGTCTTACCGTCGACACTCTCAATACCGGTACTGGTAGCATAACAGAAATCAAGGACAGAAATACCCAGAAAAATACAAGATCACCAGTAAGAAGCATCGCTCTCTGTCTCCCAGACCAATAGTGATCGCAGTAACACTAGGCTAAACTTCCGGATTAGTACAAAATGTAGCAATAAATTGACCCTTTTACTCTACGACTGACTGACCCTAGTTGAGGCTCACCAACTACCATGATCTGTTCGGGTGGGTCAAAACTCACACTTCGGAAAACTCCATCCTCTGATTTAATCTCGAGAAAATGGATCCATGGTTTGCCTTCACAGCTTCCAGCTCCTTTGTGACGATTCCGGTCCTGTTGCTCAACTGTGGTTAGCTACTATACAATAAATTATTTGAACCCCGGCCAAGAAGTTTTACCCAATCCCAGTCAAACCAATTTTTGCATTTCTATGCAAGGAGCGAAGCATGGAAGAAGAAAATTGCATTTCACCTCAGCCCAGGGCACTCATTGTTCTGATAGGTGGAACAAACGATGCACAAACCTCAGCTCTTTGTCCCTTTCATTTCCTGTGAGCACACACTTGGGTGGAAGTACCCTCCACGAAGGCGCAGATCAACAAGTTGTACTCGAATACCGGCACGGTGCTCGAGTACTCGTACAAGTACTAGTACGGGCGTGTGCTAGTCACTTCCTCGGGAGCCTATGGGTGCGCATTCGGCTATGCTAACTTTTCGATATCATTAGTGACAACAACAAAGCAAGTAGCTGCAAAGGGAAACAGAGTGTGGGATAGGTCTAAACCCAACATGTATTCACAGCAGGGAGGATCGCGATGTCCTCTTTGGGCGGGAAAACCGGGGATAACCCATGCGATCCCTCGCGAATATGTGTTTGCTTTTCCGTATCGCCCTCCACCTTAACCGGTTCGTGAATCGCCCAGACACATTCGTGCCACTCGTGCCACGAAGGAGTCGAACTAAAAATAAGAGGCCTCATGAGTGTCTCAACTATTTACTTGTCCAGAGGCTAGGCTGAGGGAGAGCAAACTCTCTGGAGATGGGGGCGATCCGATCGGGTAAGGTGGGTGAATCATAATGTGAGGCCCCCGTTACTTCTCCCTGCTCTGCCCTTTCCGATCGGAGCTGATTTGCACCTGGTGAAGGGGCCAATAACGTAATCCTTTGGTATGTAGACTCATAAAGCATCACTCGTACCCACCCTGCTGGCCTCGGGAGTGGGCCCCGGATAAGGGGTGTGACAACAACACATTGCAAAAGTTCAGCCAACAAGGGCCTATTTGGGCTCTATTTTTGATAAAAGCTTACCGGTACTGTTTTATCCCATTGACACTGAAGTAGTACACTGGGCAAAATTTGGCCCGCTGTCCAGGTCTGGTCAGCAATGAATCTGAACTCCGCGTCTCGTTCTAAAGTAGGAATTTTTCGCATGGCATCGTTTCTAACGCCTGAGCGAGCACAACGGTGGTGTAGGTTGGCATATGTCTGTTAGTTAGGGGGGGGGGGTAGAATTTTCTCTTCTCGGTTCCGGAGAGACCCGGGAACCAGACTCCAATGCCTGGGAAGACGGTCGCACAGTTTCGCCAGCTGAGCCTACCGGTATGTAGGTTCTACCGTTTTAGCTGGCGAGTTCTTTGTGCAGTGCGAGTACCCTCTTCTAAGTCGGGGGAGAATACGCACCACACAACTGTAGCGGGATCCCCCGATTTTTGTTTTCTAACCTCGAGCCTCCGCAGAAGCACCTCTCTACTCGAGTATCCTCAAACCCGTAGCGAGACACGCCGAGCCCTAGGTTGTCATCTGTTGGACTAATTGTTTGAGAGCTACTGCCAACCACAGTATGATACGGTAGTATTCTCCCTAGCCCTTCTTGGGGAGACCACCCTCATTATTACCCTCCTCAGATCTCGAGCAATCACAGAATATTTTAGCTCCTTAGTACCATAGTAGTACGAGTACCCCTTTGCTTGAGAACACCCACCGCTGGAACCGAGCTCCCGAATTAAACTCCTCCCTCTACTTACGCGGGCCTATCGGAAGGAGGAAAACATCGTAACAAGAATTCCAAGCGAGGTTAGTCTTGTCGCCCACAATGCCATGGGATGAAATCAAACCCTCCCTCCGACACCGAAACTATTCTCCATACATCCCAAATAAAAATCGCTGAAAAACTAGCCGCTTCCTGTAGGCATAAATTACTTTTGTTATAAATTCTTACTAAAAAGACCCTTGAATATCCCGACCGAGATCAATAAACCCGAGTGATCTCACATGATGTCCCCAAGAGCGCAAGACCCTACGAGCACTTCTCAGGCCTTTCAAAGCGCAATAACTAAAAATACGGTAAAGGTCTGAGATACCACCCGATTTTGACAAAATACCCAGAAATACCACCCTACCCTCAACTACCATGCAAAAATTGTTAAATCAGATTAGATCTACCAATATGATTAAATTTCCAGTCCATGATAAATTCTTTAAAGTTGCAGGAGGTGCTGAGTAGAACTAACAAAAGCATCCACAATCTAATTCGACTCAACCACATCTATCAGCTAATTTCATCTGTGATGTCCGCCCTTGATCAGCTTCCTGGGGCACCCTCACTCGGTCAGCTTTTCAACAATTTTGTCGAACTTCAGCAAATGATTGAGGATTGGTCAGTAAAGGAGAAGTTCAGCTTCAAAGTCAGTGCACGAGACAATAATAGGGCAGTTTATACCTGTATTGTGGCAGGATGTGAGTGGCGAGTAAGAGCATATCGTACCAGTCAGGAAGATATAAAGGTCACGGTTTTGGTTAAAGACTATACTTGTCTTCCCGGTAATGGAACAAAGCGAACTAGCATTTCCGGTACTCAATCATGGCTCTGGCGACATGTTCCAAGGCATCTGAATATCACTCAAGCAACAAAGCCACGAGAAATTATAGACTGCTTGCGCATACAATTTGGAGAAGCACTATTATACAAGGTGGCTAATTGCTTAAAGGCTGGTGTTTTAGATGATACGCTTGAAGGGCAAAGAGATGGATTCCGTCAGCTTCCACAATACGTTTCTGCTGTTTTATCCAGCAACCCTGAAGCATATATCCGCCTGTCATGCGACCATGAAAGCCATCGCTTTCAACGTATATTCATTTGCCCTGCATAATCTCGCTCTTCTTTCCGCCATTGCCGCCAATTTATTGCAGTTGATGGTACCTTTCTGAAAACTAAATTCGTTCAAACACTCTTGTTAGCAGTCACTGTTGATGCAAATGGCAAGACGCTTCTTCTGGCTTGGGCAATAGTTGAGAGTGAGAATTCCTCATCATGGGAGTACTTTCTATCAAATTTACAAGCAGCTATTCCAGAGATCAGACAAGATGGAATAACTCTTATGAGTGATCGCGATAAAGGATTGGTTCATGCATCCCTCAACCTACCTCCTATGATTATACGTGCCTATTGTTGTAATCATTTAAAAGAAAACCTTATAACAGCATATGGAAGAGGTGTATCAAATCTATTTTGGGTAGTGGCAAGGGCGCCCACTGTAGAAAGGTTTGAGGAATCAATGGGAAAGCTGCAAGAGGTGAAGCCAGAAGCAGTACAATATCTCAGGAATTCAGATCCTACTCTCTGGGCTAAAGCCCACTTTCCTGGGAAGCGTTACGGTCACGATACTTCAAATATTGTGGAATCTGTAAACCATGCCTTAAAAATTGACCGGGAGCTATCAATGGTTGAGCTACTGAATGCCATATGGCATCGTCTAATGAGTCAACGATTTGAGCGTTTCATGGAGGCAAATTCAACAAATCCTATGGTTCTATATACCAAGTATTGCACGAAGATCTTGAGTGAGAGCAGGTTATGGGCAAGACAAAATATAGCACCCATGGCTGATGAGATTCACGGACATGTTACACAGCCAAACAGCAATATCAAAGTGGTCAACCTGGAGGATCGTACTTGTACTTGCGGCATATATCAAGAGAATGGAATTCCTTATGGGCATGCATTAACCTGTATTATGACTATCGCACATGTAAGTCTCTTTTACTCTTCGGATGCAATATCTTCTACTTACTTTTCTATAGGCCGTACAAGATTACCTTCCACAAACTCTATCTATTGCGACATGGAAATCAACAAATAACGACAACCTTCTTCCTGTTGATATTTCCAACCTGCAACCTCAGCCAGAGCCTGTTCCTGCCCTTCAGGGTATTGAACCAAATCCAGCTCCTATTGCACAACATGTCAAGCCACCAATTACCAGAAAGCCACGAGGAAGACCAAGAAAGGAGCGAATTTGAACTGGAGATCGCCATCGTAGACAGTTGATCACAAACCAGATTGGTATACTTCCAGAAGATCCAATTCCTCCACCACCCCGATGCTCTACTTGTGGTAATCCTGGTCACAACTCTGCTACCTGCCGTAGATCACATAGCTAGTCCTTGATTGGTATTCAGTAAGCTGAAAACCTCATATCGGTTTTACTACGTTTTCCTTAATTTTTAGCATCTTGGGAATGTGGATAAATTGTATAATAGTTACCTGTGGTATCTCTGTAGTCTAATCTGATCTCGCAATTTTTGTGTGGTAGTTGAGGGTAGGGTGGTATTTCTGGGTATTTTGTCAAAATCGGGTGGTATCTCAGACCTTTACCGCTAAAAATATCTCGGAAGATCAAACCCGCATGAACAAGGCGCAGGAAGACAACCCAAACCCACTCCCTGACTTTCCCAGGGCACCATCCTCCTGTTAGCCAAGCCTGCAAAGTCCATTACTCGAGAAGAACTCCCCCCGCCACCATCACCACCACCAACACCCGGGTGGATTCCCCCTCCCAAGATCTGCGAGAACAGGGGTCGATGGGTGGGGATTAATTTATGCCACCGCACGAGTAAATTCTGGGTGACCTCGACCCGCTGCTACAAGTAGCTATACTTTTTGGGGTAGCCAGTGGTCCTCTTAAGGCCCAACCCTGCTGCAAATGCGCTTTCCTGGTGATACTAGAGGAGTACGAGTATGATAAAGTGTCATACCAGGGGCAGCGCTGGGTCGAGTTTACCCAGGATCAGGAAACTCCCGCACGCAGTGTTCCGTGCGGGGACCGTGGTGACATCGAGGGGTCCTCCCGGCACTAGGATCCGAAATTACAAGTACCGGTATGGCCTTTACTCGTACCACCTGGGCAGGTGCGTACTCGTACAGTACGAGTATCGTAGAAGGGGGGAGGGGGTGCAGCGCACGGACATGGTTGTGGCGATTGGGCTTGACGTACGGTATCTAAAGCGGCGGTTTGTGGATGTATGGGGGCGGCGGAGTTCGAAGTATCATATGATATTCGTAGGAATGCTAGCCGAATAAGACACGGGCTTTGGACTACGGGCCCTCGCTCTCCGGCGGGTACAGTACTCGTACTGCATAGTAGTAATGTCGGTGGAAGGCAGATCATATTCGTCGTTGATGAACTGGGAGTAGAAGGATTTTGTGTAGTATGTATGGTACGGTATCACAGTTACGCCACATTGAATGCCCATGTCCTACTCTTCTCACCACCGCGCTCGCGGAGAAACAATCAACACCAGCTGTGTGTCCTTCTCTATACGGTAGTCTACTTCCCATCGGTCGAGTGAAGACATGGGTTCCTTGTGTGTTAACTGTTTAAAGTCCCTTATCGGCTACAGTAACTGGGTCTCGCGTTACTACAGTAAGACTAGACTTCGGGAGTTAGCGAGCACAACATCAACAACAACCCCTATTAACCCTAACAGCGCCCGAGCCGGAAGATACCATCTCGGGTCGGGGCGAAGAGGTTATTGCCGGAGTTTGATCTACCGGTACGATAGATGGTCGAGTGGTGTTTCTGTCTACCCGCGGTGCTTACGCAGACGGAGGGTTCACTACGTAGAAGCTGGAACTATCATATCATCCGGTGAATTACTATCCCTCCCCGACCCTTGTGTGCCTCATACTTGTACTTGTTGCTAAGAATTATCATTGATGTACTCGTAGTACACGCCCTAGACGGACCACCTCGACCCTAAATTTGGTAGAAGGCGCGATCACACAGTGACCGCGTTGGGTACACCTCTACGCCACCGACAAGTTCAAGTCACACATTGCGGCGGCGGCGGGGATAAAGGGGCAGGGGACGCGCTGGAGCACACCGCTGCGGATTTCGGTCGGATAATAAATTGCGGGTTAGTGTCGCGGGGGTTGTTTGATACCGCTCGGGCGGTCGCAGGAGAAATTGTTAAGAACGGGGATGGGGGGTTAATTGCATTGATTGCTTTTGTGAGTGCGACCATTGCTGACAAGGGGAACCCGAACCCCCCTCCTCCGCTTTTTTAAGGCCACTCACTACCGTACAGAGCCGCCGCAACCTGGTTATGGTATCATAGCTACAGTAGAAACCTAGCATCGGAATGGGGCCCCGCGTCATCAGCGTCAACTCTACTCGTATCTCGCCGGGATACTTGTATATTGTTACCCCGCTGACCTAGCATGGCCTCAAATCTTCCCTGGAGAGGGGACGATTCCTCCTGGATGGGGGTATGCCGGGAAGGCTGAGCCGGAGGATTACAGTGGCGCTGGGGTATTCCTTGTCAGAAATGCTTGCTCGTTCATGACAGGGAGCGATTTGCTGATCAATGGAGGGCATCATGTGTGGTAAAAAAAGCTTCAACAACCGAGCGGGTGTATGATTTGGCTCACTCCTACCTTGTGTTTGGTGGTGTACTGTACCCGGTAGGCAGTTCCGCATAAGGAGCACTGGGCTGACAATTATGGGAGAGTGCTGTACGAGTACTGTACGAGTATAGCTGCGCCCGTCAAAGTTCCCTTCATTGTGCCCGAGAACAATATCTATTCACAGAACAACTAGACACTTTTAGATGACTGTTTTTGGTTTTATCACTATTTACCTCTTCGCAGTCATTGGAAGTATATGGACACATTGCGGATGTGGCTGTGAATTTTCTTTTCTTCTTTTCTTCTGTATCGTTCGCATGTTGTCTATCGTACTCGTGTCTTTGCACCAAGGATGGGCTCCTATTTTGGAATAGCCCCCACGGACACAAAAAGTATGGTGTTGAAGCCGCTTTCTAAAGGTGTGTGCACACACCGCCACCATATACGAGTACTGCAGAGAACGACAAATATCATGAACCTTAATAGAAATACTTTCCGAATCTGACACTGGGTGACTCTATCAAAGCATTACAGTAGACTATGTGCTTCTTTGTCTGGAGCTGTGTTGTGCCATGGAGTGAGTCCTTCATGTACGAGTGAGTGGCTCTCCAACATGGCTTGATTCCATTCATACTCGAGTACGAGTACTGTGCCCTTACTGGCACTCGCACAAGGCAAGTTTCATGGCTAGAAAGGAGCACGTCTAATTTCCCGTAGGAGTTGTTGTGGTACCGGTAAGTTGTGATATAATCACTCCCGCTCTCACAGGTTATCATCATACGGGTTACCGGTACGCTATCTCTCGCGCCACCGGCACAGTAATTCAAACATCTCGAACAACTATTCGAGCAACTCCTTTATGGGCCCGCCGCGGTGGCCATTTTTGTAAAAGGGGTACGGAGGAGATATGAGTTATCATACTTTGTACTACAAACTTGATACTTGGTACTACCATTACTCTCCTATCTGTTTTGTTAATTCCACTTTGTTTGTTTGTTTGTTTTTTTACACCCCCCCTTGTTTTTTTACTCATAGAATGGAATACCGTATTGTATCACTACAAGCCATAACTCGTACCATACAGGTTGTACAAGCAGGATCGACGTATTATGATGGCAAAGTGCAAACTCGAGTATTTCAACCAATTAGATTGATGCCCTTCTTCACCGATAGATAGATAGATAGATAGAGGAAGAAAGAGAAAGAGGAGGAGAAGAAGGAAAAAGAAATATTCCCGCATAACGAAAACTTCACTTTCATGGCAATGCTTAAATTATTCTTCTGCTCGTACTGTACAAAATTAGGATGAACTGACCTCCCCCTTCCAACCACATAGGAGAGAATTGGCCCGAGCTTTTTTTTAATTTTTGTGTGCGAGCGTGCACAGGTTCGAACCCTCACCACCATCCCACTCCATATACTCGAGTACTCGAGTACAAGTAGCTACTTTACTCGTACTGTACAATGACCTCAGGTACTAACTACCCAACATATCATGGACTAGACTACCTCTCGGAGAGAAGGATGATGATGATGGGGAGGAGAAAGGGGGAAAGAAAGAAAAAGCAAGAAACCGAGGTTCCAAACCCATCCGCTGTGAGCTGTTATATAATATTATAAATTCTGGTATGATATGATAAAAAGGACCGCTACTCGAGTACAGCATACTTTTTACGAATCCGGATTCTGGGCAATGAGGGCTAAAGGCGGTGTGGAATGTAGAAGGTACAAGTTATGATATGATAAGTTGGCTATGATGCTCGAGTGACCACTCGTAACTACTCGGTCGGATACGTACTGTACCACGCACGGCTTCTCCGAGCGTGTGCGCGAATGAACGGTCGTTTCCGATATGCAACTCGTTGCGAAGGAAATCTTGTGGTTTTGATTCGTGGGGAAGGTGGATTGCATGGATGAATGGATGCATTCCGTGAATGTTTGACCAATACAAATACGAGTTGTGCGGTATTCATGGATCGACCCCCACCACCATCACCACCACCACTCGAGTACTGTACTCGAGTACAAGTACGGTAACCGGTACATGTATATCTAGTCATGGTACAAGTAGCACTCCTTTTTATGAAAAAAGAAAGAAAGGAAAAGGCACATTGATAATTGCGAGTGAAGTGGAGTGCAGTGCCACGCTCCGGATCGGTGCGGATCCTGCGGAACCTGCCAACGAATGAATGTTGACCACTCCCGTTGTCTTCATGGAATGGTGGCTTCTTGTTTTTCCCGCCTTCCACCCCACCAGTCCACCACCCACCATCCCTCCTCAAAGCAGAGTAAGAAAAAGGAAAAAAGAAAAGAAAAGAAAAGAAAGAAAAAGAAAAAAAGAGCTTGGCTTTTTACCGTCCATTCTTTGTCGAGCAATTGGCATGGCGGTTTGGCGATCATTGCTTGGCTCTGCCGGGGGTGTGGGCTGTACTGTACTGTACGAGTTAAGATGGAAGTTGGTCGGGTCGGTGTTCATGGAGCGTCACTCGGGACGCAGGTTTCTGCCCGTGCCATATGCACCGAATGCTTGAGGGTGGAAAGTGCAATGTTGGAATTGGAGTGGGGCGAAGGAGGGAATAATTGGAGGCTCTAGCCGGATCTTTGGCGGTTGGCGGTAAAGGTGCGGTTTTTTTGTGAAATGCACTTTGTAATGATTGACTTGCTGGATGAACGATTCGCTGGACATGTCTCGATGTACACAGTACTTGTACTTGTGTCGTGTTCTGGCTCAGGGGGGGGGGGGAGGAGGGAAAGCTGGCCCCTTTCCTTTCCTTGTATGATACCGTTGCCAGCAAACTGGTGACTACTCACCCTAATTCTACATGATCGGGCTTGCGCAGGCTGGCTGTTCCTCAGGGGGTGGGAAATGGTGGAAAAAATAATAATCGCAGCCAGCCAGCCAGCTGAAAGGGGTAGCAAATTAGCCGTACTGTACTACTTGGTAAGAGAAATTAGGGGCTTTTTCAGTTTCCTTTTGGTCGTTCAAATGACTCAGCAGTTTTCATTCATCTCAAATTATTCTCAGCGAATCACAGAGCTCGAATAATTCCAAGACGCTCTCTGTGTTCCTGGCTGCGAATTTTCACCGTTTCGCACCTCACAAGGGGATAGCCCAAATGGAACCAACAACACACTCCCCAGAGCTTTGTTAATTCCCACCTGGTCCAAGTTAAGTGCGCTTGCACAGTGGGCGAGCGGGCTCATTTACTGGGTGACCTCGCTAGGTGAAGCCAAATGGAGTTTTCGGGTGCGTAGCCTTGGGGCGGTGGTGGGGTTGGAGGGGGGGGGGGAATCTTTCTTGAATTTCAATCAATACTTTTTTTTTTTTTTTGCTTTTCTTTCTTTCTATTATAACACTCCCCCCCGTCTAGTGGAAAGGCTGTTCATATAGGCACATGTATATATAGAGTGGGGCTTTCGGAATGCGCCAAGTAGTCGCCGGATATAGTCTATCATTACCGTACTGAAATACTTGGTACGGGCAGATACGTGCTCCAGCGGCTTCACTTGTCTTCCACCACCACCACCACCCCACTAACGTGGCTTGGTCCGTGGACATTACCAGTGGATGGCAAAGTTTCTGATGCGATGTACAGCTAGCTAAGCCTTGTTGATCGTAAAAAAAAAGAAATCCCACGAAGGCGTCGCGATTTTTTATTTGCCAGAAAGGGGGAAGGGGGGGGGGGGGACCTATCATCATATCTGGGAAGTTTTGGTAAACACAAAGATGTTCACGGATTGGCTTCCCCCATACCTGAGCGCAACACACGCATATCCGGATGCAAGTCCTACCCGCCTCGTTGGATCACCTGTTCCCTATCATACGAGTATCTTCGTGCTCGCTCGTCTCTTCTCTTGACGAGAAGAATACTTCTTCTGGCCGATGTTTCGGTGCGCTCCCCTAAACTGATATCCGGCTCGCGGAGGTATTCTTGGCAAAGACGAGTGGGTAGAGTACAAGTACCCTACATGCTGTACTCGAGTACATCCGCGGAACGTCGAGCATCCAAGATGGGTTCTTGGTCCTTGCAGTCACGTACCATCACTCGCTCAGCGGTTCCTCGTCCGGTGCTGTTGAAAAGGGAGAATCACCGGGCACACAAATTTCTACGGTTTCCATCCCCGAAGCTGGTCACGGATCGTGATACCGTTCTTTCTCGTACAGACCTTGCGCTGCGAGATTGTCTGGTGTGTACATGTACAGTACTCCCGCGGCGTGGACACCTGAGGTGGAGGTTTCCATAGAGAGTGTCCAAATTCAACTCGGCCGTGGGAGGTACTCGAACCAAATGGAAGCCAAGAAAGCGAGATAGACCACCCGTGCTTGGCTAGGTGTGATAACCAGCCTAATGCAGCACGTAGACGAGAAAATCCAGTCCGAACGGGGGGGGGGGCTCCTTCGAGAATGACGGAAAGCGCGACATGAGGTTCAGTTGGACTTGTACTCGTACAGCTACGATAACTTGCTCTAATACAAGGAAAGATGGCAAATGGATACTGCCGCCTTCTCCAAGTAGTTGTGAAGATCAAGAACCGGGTTGTTTACTTGTCTATTGTCCCTTTCGTTGTCGTTGTTGTCGTCGCACACAGGCGCTTAAGATGTTCAGTTTGTATTGTACGATATTTCCAGAAACGGTTTCCACATTTACCGTCTTACCGAATTTTAACTCTACAGGACAAACCCCCCCCTCTTCCATAAGGTAGCTTTCTCACATTACCGGCTGAAGTTTTCTTCTCACGGGGGGGGGGCATGGCATGGCCATCTCATTTCCACAAGTGTACGAAAGTACAGCTGGATCCTGCGAGTTAGCATGCAATGACTAGATAAATGAATGGCTTTTTTGTCGGCTGAGATAGCGAATAGGGGGTGGTGGTGGGGGTTTCTTCTCTCTCTCCTGGGGAGCAGGCGGAAAGCTACAGGAGATGTGCACTTTTTGCGCCCGCATTTGATGCACAGTCTACTCGAGCATCTCGAGCTCGCAGTCCGTCAGTACCACTTCCCCATTCGGGGTGGGCAGAACCTGGTGGCTGTTTTGAGGGTCGGT